TGTGGTCCCCCCCCCCCCCCCCCCCTTGTTTGTGGGGTTTTTTTTGTGTTTTGTTTTTGTTTGTTTGTTTTTTTCCTCTCTCCTCCTCCCAGGGACCTTTTGAGAGAGCAGTCTCTTGGCATAAATCTCGTGTGATAAACTTGTTAAGCTTCCAGGAAGCTTATTTGTGTCTCTGCTAAATTTCAATAGTAAGTAGAAAGAATTGACAAAGATATCATGTGTTTAAGAAATATCAAGGTTTTGTTTTACCTACAAGGCAGTCAACCAACTATTTAACATTTGCCAACTAATAGGATTAGGAATGCTTCTGTATAAATGTGTTACAGTTGCCAGACATGTCTGGGACTAAATCCAATTCCTGATAATTTTTGCTGTTTATTTCAGCAGGCAACAAAGCAACTTCTTAACCCCATTATGTGAGGGGGCGCGAATGAACAGTGCAAATTGCTAATAGGGATCACTTGATTAAATGACACTTGCTTTGTGCAACTCTGGGATGTTCAGGTTGAATGTTGGCTTAACAACGTTTTTTAGTGGCTTCCTCAGAGGGTTCTTGTAGTCTATATACAGACCTTTAAAAGGCAAGGGGTAGAAGCGCAGAGGTTTGAAGAAAACTTCTAAATTATCTTTCCTTTGGAGAAAGGTTGTGAAATACTGTGATTTACATCAGCAGGCTGACCCACTGGGAGATAAGTGGAACGGTGGGGAGGGCTGTCACTTGGCACCAGACAGCGCTGTAGGTGCTGGCTATATCACCATTGCTTTAATGGCTATTAATATTGTGAAAGCCTTTGACTACTCACAATTACTTTGCCTTTTTTACTTTTTCAGAAAAAATAGGTTACTACTTTTGTGAAGTTGTATTCAGTTGGAAATAAAGGCTACTATGATGAAATGTATGCAAGTTTTACACACACACTGCAATTTTGTTTGAAATTCTTTGTGTGTTGATAGGCATGTAATATAAAATGATTACACCTGATGTAATTTAATAAAATTGCCCAGAATGGCTTGTGACTTGACGTTGCTGGCACATCAACTGTAGAACATTTAGTGCTTTGTGAGTCTGTTTGCAGCCAATCAGTTACCTCACTGGCTTCTCTGAAGTTGCTGTTACGCTGGAGTGGCACTTTCTCATCTTATACTAAAGGAACTGGGGTCCCCCTTCAACAAGGGAGCCAAAGGTCTGCCTGGTTGCATGACTTGGGCCCCATACCCATGGTTTAATTTTTTTGTTTGTTTTTTTTTTGTGGGGGTGTTGTTTTTTTTTTTTTTGGTTGTGTTTGTTTTTTTTTGTGTGTGTGTTGTCTTTTTTTTTTTTAATGTAAGTGAATTCTGCAATACAACCTATTGAGGGACTGCCTCTTTGGTCCCCCTCCATGGATTTTTGAGCCCTGTTTGCTCAAAAGCAAGCAGCACACAGCATTGGTTAATAACTTCTCTTTGTGTTAAGATCTTCTCCAGAAGAAATGAAACCAATTATCCAACATCTGAAAACCAATTCTGATTTTGAAAAAAACACCTCTTGATATAAATATTGTCAATAAACAAGGAAAAGAAGGGATGAGGGGAGGAAGAACAGGCCAAGTAGATGTCTTCACATAGTACGCTCTTAAGCGTTTCTTATTATTTTGAAGAAACCTTGAGTCAGTGCTAGCAGCCTTCATAAATTAACTGCATTTTTCAGCAAACTTGAAAGGGGTACAAACCAATTATTGCATTTCATTAATAGATAAAAGGATAAGACAGTTTTTTTATTGTGTGTAGCGGAGGAAAAATAGTTGTTGACAAGTTAGTAGGTGTATGCAAGACATGGAGCTACTATACCTATTAAGATGCCTTTCTGTGTATTGAAATTGTTTTTAGACTTTGCTCCCATCTGGATGGGTATCCGTTCTTGGGATTTAGGTACAGGATTTAATCACTATTTGTTATATTCCAGGGTAGGTAATGCTTGGTGTTTAGGTGCTCCAGGTTTGCTTCGATCGGTCTGTGAGGGTATTTCAGTATGTTGACCAAGGTCCCACACCATTTGCTGGCTTGTAACTTTGAACACTTCACTTCTTTTAAATTTTTAGAATAATGTTGATTGCTATAGGTGGTGTGGTGGTGGTTTGGTTTTTTATTTAATTTTTTTTTAATGTGGATATTGCAGCAGATGCAGTAAGTGAGATTGCGTTTGGTTTAGTCATGTTAACTTTAATGCTCTCATTTTGCATGCGCCTATTTTAGTCAAGTCAAACGCTATCCAATGATTTGCATCAGCTGAGACTTACATACATAATTTATGGTCCAAATGCACCCTGTTCTTCATCTCCCCTTCTGTTTTTCAGGAACTTTGCCAGTGAGTTGGTAAACCTGAAACTGTCTGTAAACTTCCACTGTCCAAGTCCCTCTTACCAGTCCAAGTAACAGCAGACTTTTCTTTAACATACCAATTATTAGTTTTGTTACAAAAGGTGCTGTTTTACAAGCTTTCTCTAAAATCTAGTTTCTTGTTTCTGTTTTCTGCCTTGATGTGATGTAGACGTACCTTCCCAAGAAAGACATTGGAAATGGCATTAAAGGGTCTTTTACTTCTTCATTGCACACACATTAGAAATTTAATTTGTAATTTTTCCCCTGCAAGCATCCACTGAACTCTGTTAGTGGTTGTCTGTTGTAACTCATTTCCTATTTTCCCCACAGTTGAGTGGTAGAATAATTTAACTTGAATGATTATTATGATGTAAATGCTACTTTCTTTAGTTAAATACAAATACATTGTTTAGAATGCTTCATTACAGTTGATAAGCTCACTATTGATGGTAATAGAGTACGGAATCAGAGAATCATTTAGGTTGGAAAAGACTACTAAGATTATCAAGTCCGTAGGTTCATATTTTGCAATATGAACTGCTTTACAATAATATTTGACGTTTGTGTGCGAAACTTTTTATGAAGGCTGATGTGTAATTAATGTACGTGTATGTATTTTTAGATAACTGGTTTTTAATGCTTTAAGAAGCTGAAAACTAATTTGTAAACAGTAGCTGTCAGGATGGTAATTATTAATCCTTTGGAATGTGCATGTGATGAATCACTCGTTTTCCGATACCCTAATAACTACAAATTGAACAGTTTAATTTGTATGATAGTGCTTGTAATTTCATAAGTGCAATAAGTATTCAGGCATCCTGTGATGTGACGATCAGCTGTTTTGTGTAAAAGTTTGTACTCTGAAGTGAAGCAGGATTTTGAACATTTTAGAGGGCTGTTTTTAACCTTCAGCGTTTTCCCACTAATCTCTGATGCTGTTTGAAGTCAGAGCTGCATGAGCAGGCCCTGAATTTCGGTCTGAAATAAAAAAGAAAACTTCCAGGTTCCAGGGGATTAGCTTAATAATATGCCCAATGATGGAGGATAATAAATTCTTTTTTAGCTTTTGATATTTGGAATTGGGAATTGTCAGACAGGGAAATTATGCTTTTAGAAATAAGATCAAATGCTAATAAGATCCATTTTACTTCAGATTTCCCAATTAAGAAATGGGGGGCGGGGAGGTTCCTGCTTATCAGA